CATTGTCTATCATAGACAAAAAAATTTGATGTATTTTCCTGTAAATAGTAACAGAAAACCTGTTGATGTAAAACATACTTCTAATGGAAGCCATTGGTTTATATTGTTTTTCAACCTAGACTATTGGCTTCAATTACAAACATGCCTAGATTTAACCTGTTTTCTGTTCTTTTAAGTACAGAAAAACATAAAAAAAAACAACCATGTCCATGGTAAGCAGCTGTATGCTACAGATACAGATAGAGGTAGCAGATAGAGATTGGGCTGGAAAATGCTGATGTATTCCTTCAAAGAACTACCAATCGAAACATTCTTTAGGGAACAAAAGGTGGTTCTTCCAAAAATCCTCTTTTGACACCTTTTTTTTTTTTAGGGTTTTCTCAAATTTGATTGCATTTCATGAAAGACATCATTACAGTCATCATCATCAACCAATAATATCCTGTTTTATGTCCCCCTCCAGCCTCCCCACTCCATCACTGTGAGAAAATGCTCAGCTAGCTCAGAGACCGTCCCTAATCTCATGTTTCCCTCAGAAATATGTCACAGTCATAGTGTTCAATTCACTTTGACTATAGTCACATTTCATTTTCTGAAGCCCCACTAGCGAAATGGAAATCAGCTCAGATATTTAGAATTAATGTGATCACATAAAATATATTTTTGTAATTCTGTTATCAGATTAACAACACGCTGTTATCTCTCTCTGTGTGTGAAATGCTCTGACTCTGTGTTGAGCAGCTAGTGAGCAATGAGGGGTGAAATGGGAGGGGTGTGAACCCCCCTGCTGTGAAATTCCCACCACAAAGATGGCTAAAGTGAGATAAAATAGCACAGCATCAAAGATGGCTAAAGTGGCTTACTTCACATAAAGATTTTGTATAACATTAGCATTGAAACAAAAACACTTTTAGAAATGTTGTCAAAATTTCAGTTCTATCAAAATAAATTCCATCAATATTCTTAAAGAACAAAAATATTGAGTAGTTCAACTGAGGCCTCCTCTAAAACAGGCAGAAACTGTATTTTACAGCTACTAAGAAAAAGAGTTAATGACTACACCACTAAATATCAGCCATTATCACTTCATATTAAAAAAACAAGGTCACCCAAAGCTAAAAGCTAAAAGACTCCAACCTAATTCTAACACATTCCTATGCATCCCGAAGCCTTTCATAAGATTGCAATTGATTTACTTGATCTTACAGGGAAAAGACTAAAATGCATAGTACAGAGATATTCAAAAGGCTGGACTGGAAAAATTGAGATGGAGCATCAATTATACACACACTTTAGCCTGTTTATTCTCTAAATGCATTTTTTACATATTAAACTTATGATATATTGCTCTATAATTCTTCTACATGGCTTATGCACTCAGTACAGCTGAATGTGTGTGGATGATCAGAATCAGGTCACTTCAACCTGCATGTGTGTTCATTTTCCCTGCCTAATCCCAGGAGTCTCATATAGGCTATCTCAGTTATTGTGCGCCTACTTTCATTCTGAATAAGAAATATTCACATCCTTCATTTTCAAGCTAAATCCAAGACTGTTTTAGCCATTTTATTTAAACAGTACACCATTTGCAGCTGTTCTCCAGCAGATGTCACCAAAGCATCAACTTTTCATTATGTTTTTTTTTTTCTCCCTCCCAAAAGCATCACAATGTTTAAGATTATTGTAGCAATGAAAGAGATTGGCCAAAGTGGTACTTGATCTACCACCTTACAATAAGCTTCATGCTACAACGCTTTTGAGAAACTCACCCTCTTCTCCAGGACGAGTAGGCCGAATCAAAGAGATCGTCACAAATAATGAGTCACGGTGGTACTTAGAGGACATTGTTGTTTTTTTTTAGATTGTTTCCAGTGAGTCTTATTTCTTTGGCAATTGGTCTACTTAAAGGCTTCATTGCAAGCCTGTTTTGTAGTGGTTGGATATAAAGTGAGGCTCTCTGATGGTGTGTTTTTCCATTCACAGTGCCAATAACACTAGACCTGAATGCATGTTCTGTTCATTTTATTACCCCACAAGTTTTAATAGTCACCTATGGAGCCGAGCGGCTTAGACCTGCTTAAAGTTTCAATGAGTGTGATTTTCCCCAAAAAGGTCCAAATGTTAAAGCTTTGGGAAGACCATTGCTCAACCTTAATTTCTTTTACACAATACTGTGCAAAACTCTTAGGCACCATTTGTCTTAGCAGTACGTGTATTTTTAAAAAGTAAAACACTATATAACATTGGAATAAATACAAATAACCATAAATACATGAATGTAGCAAGAATGTCTCACTTTCAAAAAAGTAGTTGACATGTTGTGAGGTAGACAGAAGAACAGACGGTTATTTATAGATTTCTCCCACGTCTCCAGCCATCACATGGATTCATACAGCTGATTTAATTTAATGAAGGGTTGATTGGCCAAACCAGGTACTGGATGATAACTGCAGATAATACTAGGCTTTCTTGAGGAGAGGTCTGGAAATGGTTAAACAAGCACCGTGACATACATACAAACTGACAAATGTATTCTTACTACCCAGAAAAACAGGTGATAAATCTATTTTTTCAGGTGTCTAAAACTTTTGCACATGCTACATATATATTGATATATGTAAATAACATCTGTTCTGATTGGCTGCCCTGTATTGTGCCTCAATCAAAGACTAACTCGGGCTGAAACACTTTTTTATAACTTAAACCTGAATGGGCAGGGTTAAACTGCAGCGGGCTGAATAGGCAGGTATACACATATACATAGACTTGTTTTGGCAGCTTATTTTGAAGACAGTCTGGACTGAAGAGAGTATGGTACTTGAAACTCTAACAGTGTTTACATCGTACATCACACTGTTTTTTGAGAGTGGGAAATTTCCATATGTGCCTTTTAACACTCTCCAGTATGTAGGCACCAGCATAGATCTATTGAAGACTTCCATGAAGAGAAGAACACATACAGAACGGTATCAAAGGGTTTACTGCCAGATTAAAACTGCTGTTAGGCCTCAAGAACAAAGGTCAGGCTTGCTAAGCTGTATGTGGTCTTCTGACCTTTATATGTAATGTTGGCGATGGCATAATGGTGATAAATCTACCTTACAGCGCCCTACATGTATGTCTCAGCTATGAATGTAATTTTTAAAAAAATCCCAAACTTCTGCAAAACAATATCTAAGACATCATGCAGTGTATTTATAACCATTTCACATAATACGTTTCTCTGACGGCGCTCTAAGAAGCACTCTAATCAGCACTCCAACTCTTCAGACGTCTGGTTCCTATCACCACCACTGTGAACAATTCTGACTGAGTAAGTTTCTCTAGAATGGAGCGTTTACACTAAACCACTCTGATGACTTTGTTTACATCTTAACCATTTAATTATGCAAACATGTTGAGAAATTAGTGGAATTCTCCTTTAATTATGTCAGATTTGCTGTAAAAATAAGTATTCTATATTATGAACTTTCTCCTAGTTACACATAATATACCCTGTAATAGTTCCAGAACTGTTACACTCAACATGCATGCTCTTTTACAGGTCATTATAAAGCATTGTTTACCAATCCTGGAGCCCTGCATTGCATATTTTAGTATTTCCTGTTCTGACACACCTGATTTAACTCACCCGATCACTATCAGCCCATTCATGTAGTTGAATTGGGTGTGTTAGTGCAGGGAGACATTGATTTACTCCAGCTGAACTTTGTGCCCCATGTGGGCTGAACTAGTTTGCATTCCTGTCTTTGTGGTGCATTTCCATAGATTTTGAATTACCTTGATTTCTTTTTTCATGTTTTCAAGTAAAAGCTGCATTCTCTGACACAGTCACTCTGAATGTTATGATGTGGGGTGTTTCAGGGTCCTTCTATGTGGCTGTATCTACATGGTGCTGTGCTATACCTCACTCGACCCAAGCGCCGTTATTTTGTACTTGATGTTTTCCACTTGAGGCCTACTTTTGCCTTTTTACTACATTGGTGTGGATTTATGTAGCAAAAGCAGTCATAGTTCATTTCTATACAATCCTTTTGCAATATATGTATCACTTAAAATTAATCAGGCTGTTATTTTTTTATTGTGCCTTTAAGACTGATGTAGGTAGATGAGCCCTGATAGGCTGCCCTGTATTGTGTCTCAATCTAAAAGCAGAGACACTCCAAACACTCCTTATAACTTCAGTGTGAATGAGCGGGGCTAAACAACATCATGCTGAACAGGTATACAATGTAAAAGCATTGGGTTTTATGACATCACAAAAGCAGTGACTGGTTGTTTTTGCAGCTTAGTTTCTATGGACTGGAGAGTGAAAGTTTTGAAACTTTAACAGTATTTACATACTGCAGTAAAGACTTTTATTTTAAAAAAGGGAGGAATATTAAGCCTACCATGATATGGGCCCTTTAACCAGAAGCAACCTAAAGGTAATTGATTTGCTTTTTTAAAATTTCAAATAAAAGTTACTTTGCAGAATAAATACAAGCATTCTTTTTCCTAAGGGGGACCAATCAAATGTCCCTATAACGTCAAGCATTTCAAATAGATTTCCATTACCTTGAGCACAGTCCCCACAAAGTCTGAAATACACACGCAAACGTTGTACTCCATCTGTGTAGCCAATTACGTCCATGCCTACATCTATTCTGAAACACAAGCTTAAACCCGGTAATAACTTGCTGTTTGTTTTATTTAGCATTTTTCTGTCATAGACAGCCAAATATGCCCACAACGTCAAAATGTCCTGGGGACGTTTGGTACCTAAAACTAGGTAAACACAAACACATTAGTTTGTATTCCCGTCTTTTTGGGGTATTGGTAGTTAAGCCAATACCCAATAAATAATCCAATAATCCAAATAAAGTTCTAAATCTTTTAAGTAAAAGCCCAATTTCACTCAACCTGAGCGCATTTAGTCCCCACAATGTAGTAAATACAAGCGCATAAACACACACACACACGGTGAAGGGGAAGTCCGTAGGGGCACTGCCTCTCGCTCTCACTCTCACGCTGCAAAGTGACTGTGTTAGTTTTGTGAGTGAGAGGCAATCAGAGCCGTTATGGACTGGATATGAGGGACTCTGTACCGCACACAGCACTGCCCGAAGCTGAACATGGCGTGGAGTAGAAGACCACCAGCCTCCACGGCGCTGCTCCTTCTGTCCTGCTTATTTTGTCGCGGAGTGAGTCCTCAGCGTCCTCAGGTCTCAGTGAACGAAATCTCTGGCTTCAGCCTGAGTCCTCCCTACTTTAACCTGGCTGAGGGTTCAGCCATTTCAGCCACCGCCACATGCGGAGAGGACCAGCACTCCAGACCCAGATCAGACCTCTACTGCAAACTGGTCGGAGGACCAACGATAGGAGTACCGAGCCAGACCATACAGGTAAAGAGGCGTGCAGGAGCTCCTGCCTGCGATGGGGAGCTGTGGTGAACTGTGTGGTCAGTTCTGTGGTCTGTCTGGTGCTGCACTGAAAACTGCAGCGTTAGCACTGAAAACTGGAAGTCAGGGTTCTGAGGAAACACCTTAACCTGTTGCTGCTACAGAGCTTCTTTCTTTAAAGGGAAATTATTCCTAATTTTCAAAATTTCAGTATAAATCAGTCGTTAGGATGTAAACAGTCATTCAGAGTGGTTTTGTTGTGAAATGCTCCTTTCTAGAGAAATTTAAAAGAGTCAGGGTTGTTCACAGTGGGGGTGATAGGAACCAGACGTCTGAGGTGTTTTAATGCCTCTGAAAGGTCCCTCACAGAAAGCTTTTACACGTTACAAATCTGTTGCTTTAGACATTGTTTGTGATCAGTTTGAGCATAATATGTTTTTATAAATCAGTTCATGCATCACAATCGCTTAGAAGGTGTGTAGGTTCACTGGTCAGTTTGGACAGCAAATAGAGTGGCTATGTTGTTGTAGACATCATAAACCCTGGTTCGTATCACCACCACTGTAAGGAAATCAACTCTACAATGAACTATTTTACATCAAACCACTATGAATGACTATGTTTACATCTCAACTATGTAGACATCTAGAAAAATTGATGTTCACTTTTAAAGCCCACTTTTACTGTTCACCTGTGCTGGCACAAGTGCGTAGAATAGCCTATAACCACCCTTAAAGCATCACTATGTCATTTTTTGTTAAAACTGAAAGAAGTTGTATTACTGAGCCAAATTATGTTGTGCGTGAGCTGCTGTGAGTCACTCTGTAAAGCCTGAAATGGTCATTTAAATGTCAGACGTACTGGGACGGATCTGATGGGAGTTTTTTCAGAGCACGCCATGCGTCTTTACATATTAACGTCACACAGACTCAAAAAGAAGTTCCAGTTTCAATGTTTAGGTCTCAAATGCAAAATCAACGGTATATGTTTGAAGATATGATGAGAATAGTAGATCATTCACTCACATCCTCAGAGTTCTCTTCAAATATTCTTTCAACATGCTCGCTAAAGTCGTCTGTTTGTGGGGGTCCGAAGCACAGCCGACGTTACAAAATTTTCTTCCAAATTTTACATGCAGTTACATATTTCCACCAGAGAGGTCTCCACCTCCCCAAAACTTACATAGTGTAGCTTTAAGTAAGCCCATATTGTAAAACGAATACATTTTATTTTTATAGGTAAAAGTCTTGATACTTAAGTACTGAGTAACTTTTATAGCTACAGTGGAACTTCTCAGTAAAAGGCTAAAGCTCCAAAGTGAAGAGTGTGTGCAACGGCCCAGCAGTCCAACAGCCGTTACAAGCAGGCAGGAATAAAATAAAACTCCAAAAAAAGAAATGTGGAGTTAAATATGAAGGACCAAATGCTGCAAAGGAAATTCCAGGGGTTCCCTAGAGAACTGCAGTGTAACTGCTTACTACATCCAGCATCTACTGAAGTTCGTTAGGTGTTGTTCTTCTCTTTTAGGGATCGTTTTGTTCTAAAATAAAATGCCTAAAGCTCCCAGTTAGAGCCTTGAGCAACAGCAAAGCAATGCATGATCTGAACCAATAGAATAGAATGAAATTAAACCTAAAGAAGAAGTTAGAAACTAAATGTACATAACTAAACTGTGGAAAAGAAGTGAAAGTGTTATCATTAAAAAACCCTCAGAAATCTGTTCAAATGTTAAGTACATGGAATGGGCAAAGCATAATTTGTTACTACCCACTTCAGAATGAGTTAGCCTACATTAACGGAAACTGCAGTGAAGTGTATTGTACCAACTTTAAGATATCCACCTGTGAGGGAGATGGACGTCTTAAAAGCTAGCCTATTGTTTAGCTCCTCTCGTCTTTCTGATATGAATATAGGCAGTATCTGTAAGATTCCTCAAGTGAATACACTCAGAGGAACTGTCTTGCTCCATCATAGCCAATATATCCACAGCAAAATCCCCAGTGTTGGATCAACTCAGCGTTTGTGTGCAGTTGGACTTATAAAAACTCTGTAGACGTTAATTCAACAATGCGGATTTTACAGTTTTTTTCAGTATTGAGTGCTTAACAGTGATATTCAAGACTAACAGAGCTTCAGAATATATTCCTTCAGGCTATTGACTACTGGTCTTTGCTGCTTAAGCTGTATCTGTTCATTTGATGGATGATGAACACTTGCATCCCCTTTTCTTATGCTATGTAGGCTTGGACCTCTGACTCCAGTCTTTGATGCTGTGTTTACTTGGTAACTGTTATTTAGCTCTAAAATCACAGTATGCCTTTAAAGGCCCTTATCATTGAAAACCAAACTTTCCTCAATTTTTTTGGAAGGAAAGAGTTTGAAACGGTGTCTAAACATTGATAACAGTTGTATGAGAGCAAAAGCAGCCGGTTTTGATTTCATTTATTTTGTGAGGTCATGCAGAAAACAATAGTTTGCACATATCCACCTATTCAGCCTATAGCAGTTTAGCTCCACCCATTCACACTGAAGTTGTAAGGAGTATTTCAGCCCAGACTGCTTTTTGAATGAGGCACAATACAAGACAGCCAATCAGAACAGAGGCTATTTACATATATCAGTCTGAAAGGCAGTAACAGAAACAGCCTGGTTAATTCTAAGGATTAAAGAAACGTTGGAAAATGGTCATGTAAAAATGAATTACGACTGTTTTTGGTTCGTAATACTGCATAAACGTCATAAGTGGACCTCAGTGGGGGAAATAAAATACAAGAAATATGTAGGATATGGGCCTTCTTAAAAATGTGTGTGTGTGTGGGGAGTGAATTACAACTTTTGGTTATTTATTTTTTACCTCTGCTGTGTTCTTCTCGTAAGGAGTGTGTGTTGGAACAATCTTCATCGTTATTGTGATAAATTATATCACATTATGTCACAATAAGCTTTGAGCACATTGTAGATATCATAGTACTCAAAGAATGACTGGATGACTGTTTCATTACATGCGGTCAGCAATCAGCCAATTTATTGCTTTTATTTGGTCTGATCTGTGTTGCACAATAAAAAAAAATGGCTGTTTTGCACAATGAGTCATGCATAATCATGCTACAGCGTTTTGAAACAGGTGTAGCAGCAGCATTCAAATGCAGTGTAAGAGCCCCTCTCTGCCACACATCATTTACAGCATAACATTACAACACAGATCAGCCAAGATATTACTTTTATTTTGTCTGGTCTGTGTTGCAGTTTTGTGCTGCAAATAATGTGAGGCAGGTGGGCGCTGTTTCGCTGGTTTTGTTATACCTCGTTTAAATGAAGCATGCACCAATTCATACAGATGTTGTAGTAGGGAGCCAATAAAATGACAGAATTCAACGGCTGTGCTTGTCGGTGGAGTTTGAGGACTAACTTTATAGTGTTAAAATCATGATAACTGGAAAGAGTATTGTCGTAATTTTTAAGGCAGTGAAACATGGTTGTATAGTGTGATTATTTTCATAAAATAACAGAATTAAACACGTATAATTGATGTGTATGAGATCAGCTGTGTTTTGTATTGTTTTCTTTTTTCGGCAGTGTCAGTAGTATAAAACGTAAGCACAGTGTAATGTCCTTAAGTGGAACATGGAATAGCATTTAAGGCATTTGTTTGTTCCAGGGCTCGGCAACCATTTTATCCATTTTATTGAAGTAACGTTTTACCATCTTGCCTGAAAATATGTCTTAATATGTGCTAACTAATGTCCTTGTATAGACAAAAAATATAATATAAACGAAAACACAGACTTGCTTTGCTCTGCTTTAAGCTTTAGCTCAGCTATAGCTGCTTTTCTCACATCTCCAGCAGGAAACTTTTCCTCAAAAGTAAAATGTCTCTCAACGTTTGACTTTTTACGAGGCTGAAGTCGCTTCTCATTCGCCAGCTTCTTGTTCAATTTGGCCCGTTCCACCTTAAATGGCACCCGAGGTGCCAGAATGCAACTGTTGCACCATTTAAGATGGAACGGGAGAATTCGACCAACAAGCTGGCGAATGAGAAGCTGACTTGAATTATCGCTGTTCGTCTTAAATCATTCTCTTTGCCTTTTTATTAGCTACTAGCTAGGCGAGACTTTTCTGCTTTCTTTTTTCTGCATTGCTATGGTGACCAGCAGCAGTGACCAGCGTGCCAACCTTCAGGGTTAAAGGGTGAATTAGCAGTTATACATTAACTCCTTAAAAGAATTCCACTTCTTTTAAGGAGAATTCTTTCTGTTCCAGCTTATCAAATCTCAGATAATGAAAAATGTGATTTGTATCATGAATTGAGAAAAAAATCCCCTACCCTTCCTTTGCTTATAACTGTGATACTGGCTGAAAACTCTGCTCGGGATTGTGGATGGTGGATTTACAAAATAAAAGATGAAAGGCAAAATTGAGCTTTGGAACTGAGCAAAAGAACTTAATGTCAAAGCTTATTTAGAATGTAAAATTATGTCTGCAGGAGGTTATAATTTGTTAAAGAACATCAAAGCAATGTGGAGCTGGAATGCCTTCACTGATGCTGAATACACAGTTTCCATATGGACAGTGTCTGGGTTTGTGTTAGTCATTGTTTTATTAGCTGAATCATTTATTGTTACGGTGGTGCTTTTATCCCCCTGCTCAGGTCTACATGTTGCTGCTTGTTTTTTTTTCTCTTTATCTTGTACACGGCATTGAGGTTGGCAGGAGTAAAAGAGTTCATTTGCTTGATTTTATAAGCGCACACACTGAGTCATGTGCACTGTGTTATAAGACATTGTCTGAAAACTGGAGCATTACTGGAGCCTGTGACCATCAGGGCCAGTTGCACGTGTAGCTCTGATCGTGTTTGTGTAGCATGCCTGGGTTCAAATTGAGTGTGTCCACCTGTAACACTTCCTTCAACTGCATTTTTTAAATGAATGGTTACAGCTGTTGACAGTTGATAATAAATACCATTACATGTCCTTATGTAGATTTTGTGTGGGAAAAGCAACTTTGTCAGGGACTTTTACTGCTTAGAAATTTACACTTTGCACTGAAGTGGACTGGAGTCCGATGTTTTCTGAGGTTCAAAGCAGCGAGTCTGTTGTGCTTCAAACACTTATACGATGGTTGTATTAAAATAAAGAATGGTAAGTGAGGACATGTTGGGCAATATTTGCTTTGTACGTCTGTGTCTAATCTGACTGCTGAGTAGATTTAGTACTGGAAGTGAGGATTCTTGTCATTTAGTGATATTAGTCAGAGTTAGCCAGGGGTAGCCAAGAGAATTTTCTTCCTCTCAGAAACAGTAGAGATTTTACATTGAATGTAGGGCTCCACGTTATGGGCATGCAGTCATATGAAAGTCATATACAGAGAACACACCTCTGCAAATTTTAGAGCACAATTGTCTCATATGTATGTATGAGAGAGAGAGAGAGAGAGAGAGAGAGAGATAGATACCTACTTTGTATCTGCACTCAGTGTGTATTTTATCAGTTCCACTTACCATATAGGTGCACTTTGCAGTTATGTAGACAGTAGTCCATCTGTTTCTTTGGAGATCTTAATCCCACCTTTGGCCCATTCATTAATGGTCAGGACCCCCACAGGAGCTCCACGGAGCAGGTATTATTTGGGTGTTGGATCATTCTGGTGTGTTGTGAGTGGATCAGACACAGCAGTGCTGCTGGAGTTTTTAGACACCTCAGTGTCACTGCTGGACTGAGAATAGACCACCAACCTAAAATATCCAGCCAACAGCGTCCTGTGGGCAGCGTCCTGTGACCACTGATGAAGGACTAGAGGATGACCAACACAAACTGTGCAGCAGCAGATGAGCTATCGTCTCTGACTTGTTTTTATTTGTTTCAGCCACTACCCCTTGTTACTCATTCCAAGGGGCAAAGTAACATTCTAAAACAAGGGGTATGGGTAAAATAAGAAATGAGATTGGGCCTTAGGGAAAGATTTGGTAACTGAGGAAGAATCTGTTGATTGGAAGGTGGCTTGGATAAACATTTTAATACATATAAAAATCCTAATCACCAAATGATTCATTTTGATTTCTGGCATGCTGGACACCACTATCAAGATTTCATGCTAAACACACATCTACGTCTTTACGTATTAAATATTACGTATCACACACACAAAGACTCAAAAAGAAGGTCCGGATTGACTGTAAGGTCTCAAATGCAAAATCAACCTTATTGACATAATGACAATAGACAATTCATTTACAGCCTCAGATGACATGCCCTTCACTGAGTTCTCTTTGAACGCTCTTCCAACACACTCCCAATTATCAGGCTCATCTGCTCGTGGAAGGGGTCTCAAGCACATGTGCAAAGTAACGTGTGTGATTACACATTTCCACCAGAGAGGTCTCAAAATCCCCAAAACTTACGTAGCGCAGCTTTAAAATAGCATGCCTGTGACTGGATGTGTTTAACTAACCTTTCCTTGAAGCAAATAGAGAAAAAAAGCACAAATTAACAAAAGCACCAGTCGCCCTTCTGCAATAAGTGCATAACTAACTAACTAACTTAATAAATAAATAGAAATACCAATAGCTACTTGTATCAGAACGTCAAACACAATTTTTTGCACTGTCACGCTGTTAAAAATGGTCAGTATTCCCTGAGCAGTTTTTCTACACAGACCAAAAAAAAGAATGCATATATAAATGTTGATTTTCTGTAAAGGCCTGCAAAAATGAATAAATACATATTTAATTCCTTTAATAGCTTATGGTGATGCAGGTTTGTTGTGACAGTACCCTGTTTGTTGTGAGCGGAGCGTGTATTTGTATGCTTTTTAATTATCCATTTAGCTCAGGGGTGCACAACTCTGGTCCTGGAGGCCACAGTTTGGTGATTTACCTACTCAAACAAACTTGATTACACTTATCTATTAATTGACAGGTTTAGTGAGTGTGTTTGAGTAGGGGAACTTTGCTGGACACTGGCCCTCCAGGACATTTAGCAAAATGCTATCACAAACTATTTGTACAATGATTTTTATTCAACATTTCACACACTGCACTGCACTAAATCCAATTTAACAAGACTAACCATGCTCTCTTTTTAATTAAGCATGCAGTTTGTCAGTGTTCTTTAAGTACTGGTGATGTCCATTGTACTGGTGATATCCATTGTATGCTCAGAAAAGCATATTGTGATGTAAGTTGACGTAACTTATCATAATAACAATAAATATCTTCGTACTGGCCGCTCCTTGGCAGACACTGAAGCAAATGTTTGTGGGCGTTGCTGATACAGTCATACCATTGTGATACACACTAACCTGGAACATTATCACTGTTGCAAATAATATCTGCTCAGTGGTTCCTTTCCATTGATAGATGGGGTAGAGAGAAGGGCTGTTAAATTGTGCAGCAGCAGATGGGCTACAGTCTTTAAACCTACAGGGTGTTATAAGTTGGGTGTTTCTAATAAAATGGCCAATAAGTGTATCTAATAAACTGCCAGTTCAGTGGAGATTGTAATGGCCGTTAGCTGTTTATTAAAGAAAAAAAAAGCCTAAACTGATAAACTGAGTCTAAGTGCTCTGTTCTGTGGCCTCATTGCAGGGCCAGTTCTGTGACCACTGCAACGCCAATGACCCTGATAAAGCTCACCCAGTGACCAATGCCATCGATGGCACCGAACGCTGGTGGCAAAGCCCACCTCTCTCCAGAGGACTGAACTACAATGAAGTGAATGTCACCCTGGATTTGGGCCAGGTAAGTTTTCCATAAGGATTATACAATTTCTTTACCGGTCTTGATGAATGACATGGTGCTCTGTGTCAAATAGAGATGGCATGATACCTCTATTGAAACCTTGAACATTGACTGATACTGATCCAATTTTTATCTTTAAAAACTATTAGGCTTATATTGAGCTACTTATAATTGAACTTCACTAAAGATGATCATTGACAAGTGAGCTACTGTGCTGAAAGTCCTGAAACACATTACATCACCTGACACAGTAGCATAGAATAGAAGTGAGTGTTGTTTCAGGATGCATTTGTTACAGACTGGATCACATTCATTTTTTTATTCCTTTTTTCTTCAATTCTTTTATCCCTTTTTTCTATATTTCATCTGATCTAGGATTTCCTGCTGATTTTTGGCCATGTCTAATATACATTTTAAAAAATTTCTCTTCTTAGTTTTATCAGTTCCAGAGGGAATTCAGACAGCTGATCATGTGTGGCCTAAGAAGGCCTAATGATTCTGTGAAATAAAAATGTCTGCATGTCTGTAATTTTTAGTTCATTTTATTTAATATAATCATTGTGCTTGTAGTATTTTTAAGTAGTGTGCCTGTACTCACATTTCATTGCTAGGTTTTGGTTGGAAATATGAACGGTTAAAATTTTGAAATGCCCAAAACTATCCTATCAGGATTCTTCTCTCTGTGGTATCTAGGTAGACATAGCCAGGGAAGCTCTTCTTTGGTCAGGACTTCAGGAGCTGGAGGCTTAATGTCAGCTTAACCACCAAAGTAATCAGGAACTGACAGAGGAATCAACCAATCATATTTTGATTATTTAGGCCTTCTAGAAGTCTTAAATTAGTACTAAACACAGCCAGTTACTGTTACAGAACAGCTTTAACATAGCACAGTAGCTCCTCCTGTGATGGCTCATGGAATATACAAGGCTGAAGCCGCTAAAATATGACTGTGTCAAGCTTCACATTATCTTGTCTTTTACAAGATTTAAAAGTGTGTGTTTAATGTGGAACAGCCTAAATATGTTCGCATGGATGGTTGTTAGCTTAATGCTGATATACTCTTAAAATCCCATAGAGGCGCTAGCAGAAGTTAGCATTATTTTAGATGTGTTTGTTTCCTAATTTTTCACTGTACTTTGACATTTATGGCCCAAACTGAAGGCCTAGCTCTAGTAGTCATGGTTCACCTCTGCCAAAGAGCACTCTAGATTATGGAACAAGCGGGCCTGTTGACCCTACGGATGAATGTGTTGACATTCAGTATTGCACAATATTTTAGTACTTAGTATTTGAAGTAATTCAGTGGGTCGTAAGATATTGAATTTCGATATTCAGCTCTAGAAACAGACTTTGTTTACCGTCTTTCATATGCAAAATCATGAACATTTGCGCATATTGAAAGATGCAAGCAGTTGTTTTAAATGTGAGCGTCTCTTAGGCATGACTCTCAAAACACACCCACATTTTTATGTGACTGCAAGTATGCGCAATTCAAACGCCGTATGAAATTGCCTCCGTTCCTGAGCTTGAGTTGATCATGTTAGGATATAATCACTGCTGGCTGAGGTTCAGAGCCTCACTCCACTTGCTTTGACATGTGCATCTATTTCAAGTGTATGTGGAGCCTGGCTCATTGTGTGTGAAATTGCACCTCATGCTCAGTGAACGGTAAAAAAGAACTCAAACTGCAAAAGGAGAAAAGAATAAAGGAGGATTCCAGGATAAGGGATGCTAATCCATCCGGCTTTGGTGGGTGTTGATCCGTTGTGAGACGCTTTTTGTCTGTGGTCAGAAGTCTCCCATCTCTTTGTCTGTCTCTCTCTCTCTCTCTCTCTCTATCAGTGCCTCTCACTCTTTGTCTCCCTATATCTGTCTGTTCTCTTTTACATTTGCTTGTTTGTTCACACGCTTTCTCTCTTTTGCACAATCACACAATCACACACACACACACATGCGCGCGTGTGCGCGCACGCATATTCACATCCACCTGTTAAAGATCTAAAGTCGCGGTGCTCAGCACAGCAGCTGGACTCGGTCTTTCAGAAATAGTCTGTGTGTGTGTGTGTGTGTGTGTGTGTGTGTGTGTGTGTGTGTGTGTGTACGTGTACGGTTCATTAAAGTGAGTGTTGGTGTGTCTATTTTTAGAGACGTGCGGGATTCAGAGGTTTTGTCTAATGCAGAGATCAGTGGTGGAGCCTTTACGAACAGAACTGGCACAAACATCATCTGTGCGTTAACAGAACGCAGCCTCACGCACGCGTCCTGTTGGCCCTCTCCTCCAAAAATACCGCCCAAAATCTTGTTGCAGTCCACAATAAGCAAGTTCCAGCACTGATGACTTTTCTTCTATTTCTGTTCTCTCTGAGTGAGCGTCCACTAAGGGTCCTGTTGAAGAGCTGTCGCCACACTCTGTTTAGATTAGACACGAGGCTGCAGCACTGTTTATTCATGAAGAATGTTTGAAGCTTTCTGCTAATTGCTGTTAAATTCCAGTGAGCATTTGGAATATATTGTTGTTTTTTTAGATTGTTGCTTGTACTGGGCCAAAAGAACCATGTTTGCTTTTGGGATAACAATATTTTTTTTAGATATAATACTTTTTAGATAACGTTCTCACGACTAATGTCTTTTCTTATCTCCTCTTGCTGGAAGTGAAATTTTGAAGTGCATTTTGATTTTACAGCAATAGTTCAGCAAAAAATCAGATGCAGCTTAATTTTAAATTAATTAAAGTCTGTCAGCCAAACTGTGTTTGGTGTCTGAAGTTTGCATCCATCTGTTTGCACTGGAACTAAGGCCAATGTTGCTAACAAGTAATAGGATGTTATACCCCACCAATTAGCATTAAGTAACGTCAGACAGATTTGCCTGTGTGATCTCCAACAGTTTATTTTATAGATAACAGTCTGACATACAGGGTCAGAAACCACATACGTAAGACCAAAATCTGTGTTTTCTTTCTAATTAGGTCAAACTTGTTCTTGCAGACAAACAATAAACATGTACTAAGTATACCATTTGAATAGTGTTCCAGTGACCCATATTTGACTGATATATTTCACCATATTTCTCTCCGTTCATTGTAAACTGGTCGGTCCTAATCTTGGGTAACTCTTCTGTAAGCATTCCCCTGACCAATCACAAGGCTGTTGTCTCTGGCCCCACCCACACAAAACTGTTTGAATCAGAGAAACTTGGTGAGCTGAAGCTAACCCACCATAACCGAAAGCTAGCAAGCTAGAAAACCTGTGTGTAGCTGCCTGTTACCTGTTCATTCATTTATCCATACACAAACATTGTTCATTTGTCCATTCCTTCATTTATGAGTTGCTTCGTCCATCCATTTTTTTGTCTATCCATTTGCACATTTGTTTGTCCATGAATTTTTTCGTCCAATTGCTGTCACATAAGAGCAGGATAATAATTTTAGTTCTGGTTGAGTGGCGGAGCAGGCTAGGGGTGGCGGATGTACGTAAACTGTCAAATAAGCTGCTCACTATCCACACCCACATAGTCCCAGACAGGGCTGATCAGTGGTTTTTAAGCTGTGTTTTATCACCTTTTGTACTTTGTACTTTTCATTCAAGCTTTGCTGGGTGTTTAAAGCAACGTTATGTAACAATTTTACCTCAACAAAATCATTTTGGTGGTACATTGACTGATAATAGGGAGTCATTGCCACTCTGGGCCCAGAATGCCTGCTATAGTGCTATGTAACTTTGGAGAAGCGGCACAAAACTTCTCGCAAGAATTACTAACGCTGTACGGCACCACATCACACACCAACAGCTATGGCTCTTCAGCTGCCTATCAGAAGCTAGCTCAGTATTCCCAGTGTGGACATCTTCGCAAAGGCCTGACGAAGAGGGGAAAAAAAGAGGATCGAGGAAGAGAAAAAGGCTGACCCTTTCAACACAGTCTTGCAGCTAAAGGGATGACAGCAGACTGTAAACATAGAAATCTTGAGTATAATCTATAGTGTCCTTATGCCTGCATGATGTGCATGAACGAGGGATCAGATTCTGTATCCTTCAGCTCATCAACAGATGCACGTGTACATGAGGGGGCTTCAACAGCCTGATTTGTATTTGTACGATAGGGGTGTAAAAATGAAATACACTCTGCAACTGTAGGGGGAGCCCAAGAGCAAAAAACACCAATTCTTGCGTAATGCTTTTTTAATGTAACACTCAAGTTTAGTGTCGTAAAAACATTAATATTTTACAAAAATATTTGAACAGCTTGGCATAGAGGTGAATATGTGATAATTTTGTCATGCAGTTTGTATGATGCTAATTGGTGGGGTGTAAGCCTCCATTAGCCTCGTAGCTCCAGACCAAAACTGAAGAAGCAAACTTGTTTTGGTTGATTGCCAAACTGTCCCTTCCCTTGTGGTGGTAGTGGAGGTGGGGTTTGGTGAAAGCCAGATTTATTTGGTCCCCAGTATTGTTGTCCATTTTTACATTTCTAAGTCACTGGCACTTCTTTAATGCTTGTAACTTTCCCCAGTTGATGCCCTTACAGGCTGGTATGTTTTGGGCCTTTGTTTCTTGGCTGGGTGTCAGCACTCCTGCAGAGCTACAGTACATTGTTCAGTGAGTTTCCTGAAGAAGCTGATTCATTTTAACTTTATTGCCATTATGCCAGAACAGCATAACTAACAGCTTACTCACCAGACTCTCTGGAGCAGCACGCATGGCAGGGGTGTCCCAGCTGAGGGACAGTGGAACTGCTTATCCAGACTCAATGGCTTCATAATCATAGTTCCAAAGGAAGGTCCACACCTATAGTGGCTGTTTCCATGCTTGGTTCAGGAAGCAAATGGTTTCTATGAGTTATAAACAAGAAAGAAAACCTGGTGAACCGTAACTGTGCGAGCTAATCTATCAGTTCAGCTGTAAATGTCAAAACTCTGTCAAAATAAATTAGAAAAAGCACCTCTGCTATAATGCTAATGTCTGCTAGCACCTGAATTGGATTTCTAATAGAATGGTAGTGCT